ACAGTCAATCACATAAGTAAATTATGTGACAACCGTGCCACCATCAATACCGTAAAGAATCTTGTGCATAGTGATAGGGACCAAACACATTGAGATTGATAAATATTTTATCTCTGAAAATGTCAATGGTGGCATTATCCACTCAATCAAATTCCAACCCAACTTCAAGTCACTAATATCTTCACTAAACCTCTACCCCTAGGCAACTTCACTAAGTTGAATACCAAGCTGAGCCTTTACAACATGTCTGACCCAGCTTGAGGCGGAGCGTGCAGTTCTGAGAAAATATAAGAAGATTTGATTGAAAACAATTTAGAAAACTCCTCGATGAATTTTATTCTCTTCCTATTTATATTTATTTCAGCTTATTTCAGAATTATTACCTTTTCATGTTTGGGGTAGATATATGTGGTAAGTTGGTAAATTAGAAGGGAATAGTTGCCATATATATATATATATATATATATATATATAATCTCATAGTTGAATAAAATACTATGATCTACTTAAAATTAATGGCTCTAGTGGCATGGTCCTCTATTTCCAGAAAGAATGCAAGGATTTAAATCCATCAGAAAGAAAAACATAATAATGAAGAACTAAGTGGTCAAACTTGAATTCTATAAAAAGAGAGTATACTTCTGCACTTACAAATTTTAAATAATATCAAGGCTCATTTGATTGCTTGTAAACAGACAAATATATCAATCATTTGATTGCGTTTAGAAATTTAAAATACTCATTTGGTTGCTTGTTGTAAACGGAAAACATGTTACAACGATAATTTTATTCTCTCATTTCAGTTTGAAAATGATATTATACCAAATTCATTAACATGTTTTCAACCTTCAAGAGATGAAATAAATACACTATTTTCGTTATTGGTTCAAATAGAATCAATACTTTCTATAGTTCCCATCACATATTCGTGAAGTCTATTTAGTATAAACATACCAGAACCACATAAATATAGAGGGCACTCTGCCCTAATTCAAATAAATAACCTAATCTAACCATGCAGGACTAAGATTCATGAAAATATTCAAATTATCATTTCAACTGATACATTGCAGAACTAAGATTCATGAAAAGATGCCAGCCAATAAAAATAACAAAGTTCAGTTCATAAGTCAACAAAAAGTAAAAGACTAGATTATTAAAAGATAGGAAGATTTACATACATACCACTCAATTCGTATGTATTTACATATCTAACACATAAACTTCAATTTCTACCCACATGCCACCTTGCCTATGCATGAAAAGATGTATGTTACTTTTTGAAAGTTGAATTAGTGATATTTTTATGTGATATGAAAGATTTGAATGGTATTAATGTAAAAAAAATATAAGTTTAGGCATTAGATATGAAAATACATAGGATTAGAGGGTATGCATGTAAACTCCCCTAAAGATAAATGAGGCAGAAAACTAAATACCTACATGAGCTCAGTTAGTCTTCTCACGCTCAATGGTAACGGAAATGTCCCAGCCCATGGGAAGACTCTGGACCATCCGGGTGACCTGATGGGGTTGGGAAGAAATCCCCAAAATGGCGTCGCATTTAGTAATGTAACACCCTTCACTAGCTGAGGATTACATGCTGCAAAGTACATAGCAACAAAGCCACCAAGGGAGTTGCCCACCACATAAACAGGTTCACCAATGACCTGCAACCAAGGAAATGTGCATATTAACGAGCTTCTATAATGCATGAATAAACACAAATAGATATAATTTTTCAATTATTTTGGCCCTACTATGATTTGAGTATAAGTGGCAAGTGGTACAAACAAAAAAAAGTGCATTTTTTCTTAAAGAGACAATTATTGTAGAGAAGATGAAAATCATAACATTAGTCCAAAGGGTAAAATTCAAAGTTTGAGTAATGTTAGAATGACTCGGGAGTCGAGTTTCCTAATACCACTACTGTGATGTATTAAATGCTTTCATGTAAAGAAAAATAGAGGATTCACAACCTCAAAAACCAATTTATAAATACAGTTGGCATAGGGTCGGTCTAAATTGATGTTTAAATTGCTTTTCAAGTTATTTGTAAATTTTCAAATCAGTCAAACAACCAGAGCACGCTCGAGTCTCCTATTTCAAAAAATAAACAAGCAACAAACATGCATCGGAAAGGGCATGCTCTCAATTCCATAAGAAACCTACAGCATGTAAGAACACACACCTGCATCAAGAATCGGTTACATAAAGCAAACACCTCATTTAAGCAAATTCTGAAGTCGACCAATTAAAAACAACTAGAAGGGGAAAATTCCAAAAATCCACCACCTAATAGCCAAAAGAAATAAATTATACAATCCAACAATAGATGGCATAACCTATACCATGCTGTATTAACTTAAGAACATCATGCCAACCGTATGAATTAGTTTTGTTTTACACAATTCCAAAATCAACTTCCTGTGCTTCAAATTAAAATAGTCCACCATAAAAATTAATTAAACTGAATCTAGACTACATCATGCCAACCGCATGAACTAGTTTTAAGCTAAAGAAATAAAACAAAACTTTCTTTCGAACATTATCTCTTGCATGCCCTAAAATACAGTCATAACAAATAATATGAACTAATAAAATAAATAAATAAATAGCCTCACAAAAAATAATGTTTGATGAGATGTTTCTGATGAGAATAAATGTAAAGATTTTCCCAGACTTCATTGTCAATTTATGACAATTTTAGCATGTATTGCTAAAGAGCAAGTTATCCTTCTGGGAATAGATTTGAGCCATGAAGTCAAATTTATTGTTTTTATTTCTTTTTTTAATTTTTATTTTTATTATTATTATTATTTTTTTTTTTAGCATTGGCGAACCTCACAAAAATATGAGTGAAAAATTAAGAAAAGATGTTGGTTTAAATGATGTGCATTAATACTTTCTTTTCTACTTGATGCATTAAACAATTTTCATGTTAATGGAAATGGAACCTTATTTTTAGTTTGAACTTATTTATCTTTATAAGATAACTTCTGATCTTACTCCTTATTTATTTTATTTATTTAACCTTGCTTATGCAAAGTCAAACTGCCTTGAGCAATCATCCTTCATAATGAAGTTGACAGCACGAAGTTCGGTGTTCATTAGGATGTATTCCTTTACTTTAAAGTCAGGCCTTTAGTTGTGTTACTATTTATTTTTGAGAGAGTGGTTTTAACCGAGTAAAGAAGATTCTCAATGCCCCTTGTTTAGCCTTCTTGACTCAACACACAAGGATAACAAATCTTTTTCAAAGGTTCAATGATAACAATGATGATTTGGTTACAGTTTATGGTTACATGTTCTCGTCCATTAGTATGGCATTTGTTTTATAGCTTGTTTCTTTCTACCATCTAAATGTTCTTGCTTCCCTTCATTATGTCTTTTCTCCATTGCTACTTTCTTAAAATTTTCATCCAAAGATGACAGTTTTAGTGATTATTTGCTCAGATAATTTCTTGAAGCAATAGTGGTGACTATGCCCTTCAATAAAGGCAAAGACTATATGGCTTCTTTTTGTGGAGCTAAAAATGGAGAAGAGTACTCGTTAAGGCTTGTAGAAAGTCAGGAGTTCTCGATTAACTACTCTGGAGATGAACAACTAGAACTACACTAATGATGAATCGTACTTACACAAGGATCAATTTTGACACGGGCTGCAACCTCTATTTTTATCCTGAGATAACTACAATAACAAATAACAACGGCAACAACAAGCTTTTATCCTACTAAGTAGGGTAGGATAAACAGCTACAGAAATTCTCTCTCTATTTTATCCTGAGATTACTGAAATTCTAAACTTCTAAAAAATATATTCCTGCTCGAGTGATGTCAAATTCATTTGCAAGCCTGCATCTTCTTCATCATCTTCTTCCATGAGTATTTAAAGCTCTATTCAAGTTGAAGGGCTTCAAGGATGGTCTAATGCATTAAACATCAAAAAACATTAAAATAAAGAGTCTCTATCAAAGATAAAAGATGGAATGGCATGTACATTTTTGTGAAACCAATCAAAGGATGACCAATTAAAACTCGATTGACTAAGCTTTCAAAGGATTAGGATGATCGACACAACCTATGTGTCAAGAAAGAACAATAATTTTTTAGCTTTAAAAATTTTGTCCATGACATTCAGGTATTTGTCAAATAATATGATAAATTCAATACTAACCCTCCCACGTCATCCAACAAGTGAAAAACTGGGATTTTGTTTTTAATTTTTTGAACTCAATGTATTTGTATAATTAAGCAAATAGATACTACTTATATGTTTGATATTTTTAGGGATCTACCAATTGATGCTAGGATTACATTCAAATCTAGATTTGAGTGTGTGCCTTAATGATTTGGACGAGGAAGGAGTCTAATTTCTAAGAAGAGATCCAAAGAAAAAATGACGGTTTGAAATTGAATCAATGAGGTAGATGTGAGGAATGTTGCAACTCCAAAGACTACACCTACTCATACAACTTCAATAGCTTGAGCTGCCTAATGAAGATACTAGGTAATATTATGCTCATCTCTTTAATGAACTTCTTTTATTACGATTTAAAAGCATCCATAACTATAATATATAAGGGACCTATATTAAAGTATAAACTATCATAAAATTTGAGAATTATAAATTTTTTTATATAAATTGATCATAAAAAATTTTGTGATCTATTTTATGTGAAGTACACTCAAGCTCTTAAGAGAATTTCTGTCATTGCCGGTCCCAAGCCGGATGTGAAAAGTGAAGGGTTGAGACAGCCAGCGTAAAACTTTCGAAAAAATCATTGTCGTCTTAGATGGTTTGGACACATTAAACGTCGTCCATCCATCCATCTCTCTATGAACCACCAACTTTGCAACAATACTGCTCATGGCCATTAAACCGTGAAAAGGTGAGTAAGAAATAAATAAATGAGGAGAAAAGGTGTGGCTTTTGTGCTTTCAAGAAACAGGTTAAGTGGCTAAAGTACTATCTTAGCCAGAGGTGTTGAAGAAAATAAAATGAATGACCATCGATCTATCTATCTATCTATTCTTTGCAACAATACTGCTCATGGCTATTAAACCATGAAAAAGTGAGTAAGAAATAAATAAATGAAGAGAAAAGGTGTGACTTTTGTGCTTTCAAAAAATAGGTTAAATGGCTGATGTACTTAGTTAGACGTGTTGAAGAGCAGAAAATGAATGACCATCCATCCATTCATCCATCTATCCATCTCTCTCATAGAGATGGACCGCCTTTTTTACAACAATACTGCTCATGGCCACTAAACAATGAAAAAGCGAGTAATAAATAAATAAATGAGGAGAAAAGGTGTGGCATTTGTGCTTTCAAAAAATAGGTTAAGTGGCTAATGTACTAGAGGTGTTGAGCAGAAAATGAATGACCATCCATCTATCTATCTATCTATTCTTTGCAACAATACTGCCCATGGCCATTAAACCATGAAAAAGTGAGTAAGAAATAAAAAAAAGAAGAGAAAAGGTGTGACTTTTGTGCTTTCAAAAAATAGGTTAAATGGCTGATGTACTTAGTTAGACGTGTTGAAGAGCAGAAAATGAATGACCATCCATCTATCTATCTATTCTTTGCAACAATACTGCCCATGGCCATTAAACCATGAAAAAGTGAGTAAGAAATAAAAAAAAGAGGAGAAAAGGTGTGGCTTTTGTGCTTTCAAGAAATATGTTGAGTGGCTAATGTACCATCTTAGCTAGAGGTGTTTAAGAGCAGAAAATGAATGATCATCCATCCATCCATCCATCTCTCTATGGACCACCATCTTTGCAACAATACTGCTCATGGCCATTAAACAATGAAAAAGTGAGTAAGAAATAAATAAATGAGGAGAAAAAGGTGTGGCCTTTGTGCTTTCAAGAATAGGTTAAGTGGCTAATGTATTGTCTTAGCTAGAAGTGTTGAGGGGAAAATGAATGATCATCCATCTATCTATCCATCCATCCATCCATCCAACTATTTTGATCGACCGATCGGTCACACTGGCCCGTTCGTCCTCCAGTCCGCCCGTCTTTCTGTCCATCCGTATCGATCCATCCATCCATCTGATTCCCTGCTTCTTCCAGCAGATTCACTGCAGCATGGCTTCTTCCTGCTTCTTTATGTTGTTTTCTTGCATACTTTCCTATAGCCTTCTTGAGCTTTCTTACATCTTTCCTGCAACCTTCTTGCATCTTTTCTGTGGCATTCTTGCAGTTTTCTTGTTGTTATACGTCCGCCGGTGACTTACAAATCCCAGCTGCATCTGTTTTGGCTTAGTAAAAATCATCTCGAAAAGTGCTCAACCCTCGTCCATGCCACCTCAGACCGATCATTCCACCTGTGTTTACTGTCACCAACCCAACCCACTCTGGACAAGTGTTGGAAACTTCATGGTAAACGAACATACAAACCTTCGGTCAGATCCTCTGCTACCAAGGGCCTAACGGCAATGTTCGATTATACCACAGTTCAACCTACTCATAAGCAGGAACATCCAAAAACCCTCTGAATCCCTGAGAAGCTAGATGGAGCAATTCATCAAGCTATTTGAAGCCCATCAAGTCTCTACGGATTCGTTGACTTCCCACTCCTATGACTTTCATGATTTATTCCGCCTTTAGCCCATGGATTATTGATTCAAGTGTCACGGATCACATGACTGGATGCTCACAAGTTTTCTCGACTTAATATTCGTGCTCTTGAAAGAATACCGTCAGAATTGTTGATGGCTCCTGTAGTTCCATCGTCGGTAAAGAATCGGTTGTACTAACAACCGATCTAACTCTTGACACTATTTTACATATTCCTCAATTACAATATAGCTTGTTATATGTCAGCAAGTTAACGAATGATGTTGATTGTGTTGTTAATTTCTCTTCTGATGTTTGTATTTTTCAGGATCGTAGTTCGAAGAGGATGATTGAAACTGCTAAGAGGGTAATCGAACTCTATTACTTCTAAGAGGAGAGCATGGAGAGTGATGACACACCTCTCAAGAATTGTAGTTTATCTCGAATCATTGAATGTCTTATTATGTTATTACATTGTCGTTGAGTTCATCTTAGTTTCTAATATTTAAAAAATTTATATCCTTTGATGTTTTCAAGAAAAAATCTTTCAATATCAATTGTGAGACATGTCAGTTAGCCAAACATCATTGGGTCAATTTCCTACCCCACACTTGCACACTTTCCAATCATTTCTCTCTCATTCACAGTGACCTATGGGGACCCTCTCACACTCTCACCTAGACCAATAAACGGTGGTTCCTGACTTTAATTGATGACCTCACTCGAATGACGTGAGTCTATATTTTAAAAAATAAATCGGAGGTTGTCGACACTTCCCAAAACTTCTACACCTTCATGTTAACTCAAGTCAAAACTCACATTCAGGTCCTTCGGACTGACAAAGGTCATGAGTTTTTCAACTCTATTTTGGGTGAATTCTTGGTGAGTAAGAGCATCCTCCACCATAGTTAATGTTAGGACACTCCTCAACAAAATGGGTAGCCGAGAGAAAAAAACCGCCACCTCATCGACGTTGCTCGCGCCATTAAGTTTCAATCTAATGTCCCGAAATGATTTTTGAACGATGTAATTCTCACTGACACCCATCTCATAAATAGTTCCTTCTAAAATTCATAAGTTCTGAACCCCCCTAGCTCTCATGATGGCATGCTTCTCGGCCAATCGGTTCTTCTCCATATTAGATCTCAAGTTTTTTGGGTGCACTCCCTTTGTTCGGAATACTATCCCTAATCGGAGTAAATTTGATCCCAGATCCATAAAATGTATCTTTCTAGGTATTCCGCAACTCAAATGGGGTATCGGTGCCTTGATCTGACTACCAACAAAATCTATGTGAGTGTTAATGTCTCCTTTTTTGGTTGTGTTCCCTATTTTTGTAGCTCGGCCTCAAGTGAAGGGGAGCTTGGGTTTCCGTGGATGTTCCCCTCATTGTTCCTGCCACTGAGGAGTCCCCTGTTCCAATGAGTGTACCATCCGATGAGTCCCCTGATTCGGTGAGTGCACCATCTCCTCCTCCCGCTATCCATGTCTACACTTGACGCACCAGTTTCGCTGCTCCTACTCTGAAGCCCGCTATCTCCTTATAGGACCCGAACTCCACTTCGAGCGACATCCTCAGCATGACCCCTCCTCCGAATGAGGAGGCAAGTTCTCCGAGTAAGGTACATGCTCTCTCTATTCTATGGAAAAATGCCTCTTTCACAATTTATAACCGATCTACAGAGCATTTACTACTACCCTGACGAACCAACAGATCCTAATTACTATTGAGGTTATTCTTGTTGATCCAGCCTAGAAAGCTGCAGTAATTGAAGAGATGAATGCCCTCAGCAAAACCATACATGGGACGCTGTTGATCTTCCTCAGGGTAAGAAAGTTGTGAGGTGCTGATGGATTTTCATCACCAAGTTCAATTCTGATGGATCATTTGAACGCAACAATGCACGATTGGTCGTCCAATGATACTCTCAAGTTGACGGAGTTGACTATTATGACACTTGTTCCAGTCGCTAAGTTAAACACTAATCGGGCTTTGTTGTTTCTTGCGGTGAATCTGAATTAGTCTTTTATTCCAGCTCGATCTCAAGAATGTGTTCTTGAATTGAGAGCTTACAGAAGAGGTATATATGTCTCTCCCTCCTGACTTTGACTCTTCTGCTTCCAAAGAGCGAGCATGCAGGGTGCGAAAGTCTCTCTATGGGCTCAAGCAATCCCCAAGAGCCTGACTCGACAAATTCACAAAGGTTGTTGTGGGTCATGGTTTTACTTGGACTCAATCACTCAATAATCACACTCTCTTCTTCTGGTATTCCTTCAATGGCCAGATAGCTATCCTTATTGTCTATGTTAATAATATTATTCTTACAGGTAACGATCTTCAAGCATTGGAGTCCTTATTCTTGAAATACATTCTTGTTAAGACCTTGGAAATGAAGGACTTGGGATCTCTCTGGTACAGTGAATAATCTTTTTCTGTGCAAACATGTAGTTGTCCATATGGATCCCAATGAAAAAATATCTGACATTCCTAAAGTTGTTTCTGTCAATAAGACACTTCCAGTGCCTTGTGGGAAAGCCCTCTAACTCGCCCATACTCGCCCTGACATATGCCACGCAGTTGGTATAATGAGTCAATTCATGCATGATTCCTATAAGCGTCATCTCCAAGCTGTCCACCGGATTCTCCACTATTTAAAAGGTACACCGAACTCAGGTCTGTTTTTCTCTAGTCACACCTCTCGGTCTATTGTTGTTTATAAGATGTTAATAGAATCGGGTCGGTTCATGATCGACGTTCTCCCTCTGGGAATTACTCATTTGTATGAGAAAATCTTGTCACGTGGAAAAGCAAAAAACATTCTTTGTTGCCCAAGGTAGTGTTGAAGCTAAATTTTGATCAATGTCCTTGGGGATCTGTGGAATCCTCTAGTTATGCATCATGCTCCGTGAACTTTGTATGCCAACCTTCGTCCCACTGCAGCTATTCTGTGATAATAAGGTCTATATCAGCTCTGGTCACAATTCAATCCAACATGATCGTACAGAACATGTGGAGATTTACAAACGTTTCATTAAGGAAAAGATTGAGTCCATGGAAATTTATGCTCTTTTTACGCCCTCTAGTGGTCAACTAGCAGATATTCTTACCAAAAATCTGTCTCGCCCTTTGTTTGATGACTTTAAGTCCAAGTTGAACATGTCTGACATGTATACGTCAACTTAAGGGGGAGTATCAGATTATAACGGATATCCTTACACTATTATTACTTATTATTTGATTTTATTCTCTAGGTATATTTTTCTCTTTTACTTTATTCTATTTTATTTTCTTTCATTGTTATTTTATTCTGTTTTTATTCATTTTCATTATTATGCCTATTATAATTGGGGTTAAATACCCCTCCTTCTATCAATAAAATTATGTAATTCTTGTCAAATTCAACATATATATAGAGAGAGAGAGAGATAGAGAGAGAGAAAGAGTCAAACGTAATCAAGAGGGCCTTTAATTGTCTCAATGGTTTACCACACATGATAAAAAAAGGGATCACGCTGAATATCAAGCTTCTTCGACAACTTAAAGCTTAGCATCAAATCATATTGGTTTTTTCAAAAGAATATTTCCATTCCCTTCCATCGTTTTTATAAATGGACACTCCAGATCCTGCTAGGTAATTGGAACGATATGGAAGGCTTATGAGGCAAGTACAATATCTAATTTTAGGCTTAAATGAATCAGTTTAGTTAACAGGAAATTAGATACGTCAACGTAAAAGTGATCCATGGAAGCTTGTAAATCTCAATTACAAGGGTGCTAATGATGGTAACAGGACCAGCCTAGTTTTTAATCCCCAAATAAAGCACGGGGGCACAGATTGATTGGGACATGGTTAAACAATAAAATTTCAACAGTTGTACATGTGTATTGCACCTCAGTTCTCAACCACTTTCCTTCAGGATGGCTAGCACTTAAACAAACATCAACTTATGTACCAAAAAAAAAAGGAGAGAAATGAGTGGTATAACATGAGCAAGAAAAATTATCCATAAAAATAGCTCTTTTCAAAGAAAATTCCTGAACTAGCGTTCGAAATTTTGGAAAGAAATTTCCAAATAATCAAATTTGACACCCAAAATACCATACCAGTTCGACAAAATGCTGAACTTGATCTCTCCAAAGATCTACGGAGTATACCAATTCGCTGGCCCAAGGTTCTGATTCATTACCAAAACCCCATCTGGTAAGTGGCTCCTCAGAATTGGTGTTATGAGTACAAGGAGCTGGGTCTTCTGAAGGCAATGACATGCCTTGTCCTAAAAAATCCACTGCCCACACTCTATAGTCACGACCAAGGTCTTTCAGTTGCTTCTCATAATGGAAAGCCCCCACACCAAAACCAGGGAGAAATAACACAGCTGGTGCATTAATATTTTTTGTTCCAGATTTCTCATAGTGCACTGAAAATTTTGGCTTCCATTCCCAATAGCAACTACTGATTTGAGAACCATGATTGCCATTTGAATCATTGGGCAAGGTTGGAATTACAATTTTTTCAGTCTGATCAATTTTTGGAACCTTTTTTAATCTCAAATTTCCATCAACTACATGGTAGTTGCAAGTTCCATCCCCTGTCATAATAGAATTTTGATTATCAAGCCCCTCAAGAATACTCAGCAGCTTATTCCCCTCTTTCTCATTTAAATTGTTGATTTCATAAGATGGTTGATGAGATTTCCTCTGACTAAAAAAGGATTTTGTAGCAGATGATGAAATTTTTCTTTTCCCGCAATGGAAGAACTTCGATTGCTTCAAACTGATCCTATTCTCTAAGAGTTTCACATTAGAGCTACAAAAATCGCATGGCAATGGATGATTGAGAGGAAGCAATTCCATGTCTTGAAAAATATCAGTCCTGAAATGAATAAAGCGTCCAGAAATAAGAAGGAAAGACTGATGCAGGACAGATTTGTAACAAAAAATAATAATAATAAAGAAGAAACGAAAAAACAATACATAGAAGAATAAAATTAAGAAATATCTAATAGAAAAAATGAGACAGTAGCTGCTCATCACACAAAACAGTTTTTACATAAAGAACTATAATCATGCACTCATGACAGTAATGTAACTCAAATTATGATCATAATACATGCATTTCATGACCTTAAGAAAATAAGGAGATAGGAAGAAAAAAATGAAAAAATAAAAGGAAAAATAAAGAGAGGTTGTGAAAAACTGTAGAAACTAAACAAACAACAAATATACCATGTGCTAGTATCCTAAAGTGAAGAATTAATGATGTAAATATTTCACAGTAGCCTCCATAAAGTTATGAGATTCATAACATTTTAAATTAAATGTTCTAACCATTATATGTTTTAAATTAAATGTTCTATTTGATGCACAACATATAGGCTTCCTACTACTACCTGAAAATTTACACCATCGCCAATACTTCCTAAATGGGATGAAAGCAGTTTGAATAGCTTGACATAAAGTCTGATAGAGTAGAATGCCAAC